AAATCATACCTGACGGACCGTTTGTAGGTGCTGCTCAGGGATACATGCTTGTCCCATTTCTATTTTCAATATACATAGCAGATATTCTTATACATGTTAATATTTCAACACATAATCGCTGATACGCAATTCTTACACGTACTTCGTATCCCTCCATTATCACTCAACAACACACGAATGTATTAAATTCTTAAAACTATCACAAAATGGATTATAAAAATAAACCTAACAAAATTATAAATTTATAAACGATGCGTTATCTTGGACTTTCGTGGATAATCGATTGACTTGAAATCCCTTCACAAGTATGAAGAGACAAGAAACAAACCGAAGTTATGTATAATTTTTATAATTTATTTTTTATTCATGTTTTACGAGGATTCGCAACATCAGATGTCATATCAACACTCGGGGTGCCGCCCTTTGACAAAAAAACCTTTTGAAATTATGTCGAGTTCCTATGCAGGGCCGCTGGATTCGAACCCGGGACCTTTATCTTACAGCGATGAGCACCGTGTCAACGTCTAAACTATTGCGATCACCTACGGCCCGTTATGTATTATTAAAAAGACTAGTTGCCTTAGAATCATGTTTAGAAATAGAAAACAAATTTTTCATTTATCAGTCAATGAAACATCTCTGGGCGTGCGATTGAGATGTGTGGAGCTCAACCAAGGTTTTCAATATCCAACATTTCCAATCAATTCAGTCTAAAATTCTCCATCAGTTATAAATGCTTATTTCCTGCTTGAAATCATATTATTCATAACAACCTACACATCCCGTTTGTACATGACCTCTTCAAAACCTGCTATAAAATATTACATCAATCCTTGAGCATCCGTAATAATCTATTGTACTAGTACGACAGTAACTTCACTACTACACTTCCAACCTTATTTTAAATGTTATGTTGTGCAGTTGTTTAGTTTACTCAGCATCCTGTTTTCTGGAATGAGAACGTGACCGATATCACAATGGTAGCAAAAATTGGTAAAATGTTTTGAGATACTATTATACAAAACATTTAAGTTTCATAGAAAAAAATATAATATCGTTCATTTGGCTTGACAAGGAAACACCCAATAATGTAATATCATTCACCAAGTTTAAAGAATAATGTAATAGAGTTTACAACAGAAACATATCTGTTTTACTGTGTTTTTGAGCGAATCTCAAATAAAGCGTGACATGAAACCGCAAGTGAAATCTTGGAAATCCTCCTTCGAGGCTTGAAGAAGATAGACATTAGCGGATAAGCAAACAAGATTTACTGATGATCTTATGGTCAAGGAAGATGGTCCAATCCGTGCTACGGGTAGGTAACTGCTTGTATGAAGATGTGAGATATAATTTCAATCTACATGTTTTCTAGAAATTTCAGAAAATGACATATTATTATCATAGAGAACCTGATAAAATTTGGATAAAAAGCCAACTTAATAAAATGAAATAATTAATTTAAAAAACTGTGATAAGGATAATGTTTATATCAATGCAATTTATAAGTTAAAAATAAATGTTGATATTCGGCTGGGAAACACAAATACAGGAATACAAAAAATTTCTCACAGCAGGCAGGATTTAAGGCAAATAATAAACCTTTAGAAAAATGGCAATATCAAAGATACAAACCTACCGACTCTTAAAGAACCGACAGATACTTAGGAACACGTCTGTAATATTGACTTTTCAAAATTGTGACTTCAAAATAGTTAGCCCATAAACGGCGGAAAGGTGACACTAACGCCTAGGGAAATAAGGGAGGACGAATCCCGGAAAGTGCTCAACTACTTTAAGGGTAGTGCACTTTTTTAGGTTTGGATATAAAGAAGGGTCAATTCCACAATAGATCTTTTATGTGGAAGAAAGGGATACTAACGTCACCCGTGCTCCCAGAGGGTAAAAAACCCGCTGGAAATATCAATTCAATGCTGCATTGCTTCCATCCCGTTTTTCACCCAAATATATAAATTTAACGGTCGATTATATTATATAAAAAATGAATTATCGATATCGTACCGCTACATTTAGTTATTTTTTGATGATGTTGTAAACAAACATTTTTTTTGTAGAGGTTTATTTTAAATCTGGAGTATTTCTCGCCATTAACCATGTCGGGTTGCTCGAGTAAAGTTTTATAAGTTTTTTTGGGGGGCGGGGAGACGGTGTAAGAGATGGGGTTCTTTTCGGAGCGATATAATTGAAACCGGTACATTTCAAACTTTAATCCAAGCCAAATAAAGACCCCGAAAGTACTTTAACTTTTTCTGAAAGGGCTCCTAAAATTTTTACGTTACTAAATGCTCCCTCGGCTCCTTTTTTCTTATCATAAGTAATTTGAATGGGATTTCTTGCCACTTTGCTGCGTTAACTTTCTAATGCCTTATTACTAATATGAAATATCATTTATTTTGGCGACCGATTTGTCTAACAAAAGTTTAATTTTCATTTTGTTTCAAACAATGATGTTTTTAGTCAGAATGTTTTTCCATTCAATTGTTTTATTATTTATGTTAAAGTTTATGAATAAATGCTGATTTGTTTATGATGGTGCATTAGGAAGACATTTATGAGATATCCATACGATTCTAAACACTAAACATTTTTTTATCTAAACTGCTCAAAAATGAATAGGGATATTTCTAGTTTATTCTTTTTCTATTAATTTTAATTAAATTAACCGATATATTTTTGTTAAGTGGATAAAACAAAATAGAAAATACAAACTCAAAACAAACAAATGTTAACCCTCATTTTTAATAAAGGAATAGTATACATGAAGATTACTCATTTAGTAAACAAACACCTTTTCTCCATTGTAATCTAGTTGTATTCTCTTTACCCATGGAAAAACATTATCTTGAACCAGAAATTTGCAATATTATTGTGGGAATGAGTAATGGAGGTCATCAGAAACTAGATATCGAAGATGTAGTTGGCGTTTCTGAGAGCGTGGTCTCCCGGGAGTTAGCCCGATTCCGAGAGCCTGGAAGTACTAATAGGAGGCCTGGTAGAGGAACTCAGCGCATTACTGGAGGAGAGAAATATTGTCATTGCTTCAAGACAGAATCCTTACTTAGTGCCCGCAGATCCTAAATGTAGTACAAGATGTTTTGGCAAGGCCTTTATCATCACAAACGATTCGTATTGGTTTGTGGGAAGTTGGCCTCACATCGTATGCCCCTTTGAGACGAGACGCAGCAATATTCCACCACCAGCAACTCAGGAGAATATGGTGCAGGGTGTAGTGATAGCAGGCGCCGAAGAATCTACCGAGAACAGGGGATGCGTACAATGCCCTAGTTCGTGCTCCCTTCAGTGCATACGTTCCCATATACCCGGTCGCCCTTAAAAAGACAATGAGGATCTTGCACCTGGCCTTACCGGACGTTTTGATTTTCAAGTTGAGAGATGACGCGCCTCCGATTGCGACTGACTGGGTGTTACAGCCGCAAGCGTTGGTGTAGAATTCGTCCTAGCCTCGAGGGGCCAAGACGAACCTCACTCCCCGCTTGCCCATTCCGAGTGGTCGGGTCTGCATTGTGCATCTGACCGTATGTAGTGCGTAAAGGTGGCTGAAATGCATCAGCCTGGTCACCCATGGACTCCCTAGGAGAAGGCCACTCTATCTCCCAGAGTATTGGGGCTCCTCCAGCGTAAGAACTTCCGGATCCGCTCCGGCTTCGGTTTTGTTTAAAGTGGAAACATTTCTAACTCCCCCTGGTGGTCCCAGAGGAGACTGCCTTCGGTAAAGGAAGCCAATGCAGGCACCAGCGACCACTCTTTGTTCTCATCCACCACTCGAGGGATTCCGTTTGGTAGTCTGAGGGTCCTCAGGATATAATCTTTGATGGTCCGATCCTTCGTATCACGTGAGGTCGGGGCTGTAAGGAAGGTCATATGCAAGTTCCTAGGCGGAGGTCAAAGATAGAATAACAGCATCTTCTCCTAGTTCCCGCTAGGAGCATCGCCACTAAGCCACTACGAGTCCGTTCCCATGAAGCAGGGTTGGACTTGGAACATTTTCTGTTACCCCGTAGTTAAGATGGCTATGCACCCTCCCACGTCTATGCAAACTGGATCCGGTATCCTAACCCTCGTGTGCCTCTGATAAAGCACCCGCCGTTCCCTGACGACCCAGAGGCAGACACGAGTCCACCTTGTGCTTCAGAGAGTGCCACGCCCTCAAGCCTACACCATTATTTTGCACCTGGATACCCCCCTTGCATTCAAGGGTTGGGAGAGGTCTCAAGGAAAAATGCCGTCAGAGAAAGGGAAGTGAACGAGGACAGGCCGTACCCTCCTCCCGTCTTGTCCACACTGTACCACCCGTTGTCATCGTAGTTCCACATTAAGTGGGATATGTCTCCCCTGGGTGGATAGAAGAGATGAGATGGCCGTTCAAGCACCGACCGAGTCGACACCATCCCGACCAGGCATCTCGGGAGACGAATCCGAGACTGTGTGACCGCCCAGCACACATTTCGAATTAAAGAGTCCAGGGCAGTTTGGAGAAGGCGGTGTAATGGTCTGGGCTGGGTTTTTCACTGGAGGACGAACTGGACTCCATATTGTTGAAGGCAACCTCACCGAAGTCCGTTATATCCAAGAAATTATCGAGGAATACATCTCTCAAACGAAAGATCTCATTGGCAGGAATTTTCGATTTCTGGATGTCAATGCCAGACCTCATTAAGGCGGAGTTGTTCATCAATGGTTGCAGAGAACGCTTTTTTATGGATAAATGCTGATTTGTTCATAATTGGTGCATTAGGAAGACACTTATGAACTGTCCATACGATTCTAAACACTAAACCTTTTTTTATCTAAACTGCTTTTATCTAAAGGAAAATAAAAACGCTATGGAAAGTAAATACTACAAAATTGGCAATATCCCTATTCATTATTGACCAAAAAATCACCTTTTTAACTTGTTAGATTGTTAGACTGTAAACTTTTCTCTTTGTCTAATTTGTCCGTTTTTTGTTTCCAGGTTGTGATTGCTTCTGAGATGTTCTCTGCGGGCGGAGGGGATGCCTAGGGAGGCTGGAGAGACACCAGCCTCTGGGATGTGATCAAGCTAAAGTTCCCGGCCGTACCAGCCGGATCAAAACCCTCCGCCCCAACACCACACAACATAGCACGATTCTTAAAAAAACGAATACAAACCAGCCTACCAGATCAACCCTTGTCAAACAAATCGTCAAATTTCCAGCAGATTTAAAACCGAAACAGTTTAAATAAATAATAAAATGATATTGTAAATAATTTGTGTCTAGCTAGAAGTGTGTGTTAGAATAAAAATTTTTGATTTTTTTATTCGTCTTTGGTTTACGTTAAGTCCTTCAAGTGTAGAGGGCCTCGGTCAAAACGGGTACTGTTATAGAAAAAAAAATTAAAATATAATAATTAGGGTTTGGAAAGAAAGAGAATCGATTGCCTTTTTATACAATAACTATTAAAAAAGAAAAACTATTACAAAAAGAAACTGTGTAGTTAGTATTTTTGTACTTGTTATGGAGCGGTTTCCTTTTGAATCAAATGATTCCCTCACTTGGTTGAAGTGGGACGAAGACGACGAACTTTTGCTTTTATGGCAAAGCGATTCTGCTAATATCAGTTACGGCAACGACACAAACAGTACTTTCGACGGGAACGACACTTTGATAATATTGAGTGGAAGTTCGCTTTACCCCAGTGGCTATTCGCTCTGGCACATTATCGTCGCAAGCATCGTCGTCACAATGCTGATGATAGTCGTCGTCGTGGGAAACATGCTTGTTATAATTGCGATTGTGACGGAGAAGGCGTTGAAAAACATCCAGAACTGGTTTATCGCGTCGTTGGCCGTCGCGGACTTTTTCCTCGGACTGGTCATTATGCCGTTCTCATTGGCGAACAACCTGATGGGCTATTGGATATTCGGCAACTGGTGGTGCGACATACATTCCGCGATGGACGTGCTTCTCTGTACTGCGTCCATTATGAATCTGTGTCTCATATCCCTGGATCGTTACTGGTCCATTACTCAAGCGGTAGACTACCTGAAGAAACGGACTCCCGCCAGGGCAGCCATCATGATCACCTTGGTATGGATTCTCAGCGCCGTCATCTGCATCCCACCCTTATTAGGGTGGAAGGTGGCACGGGAGGAACAAGAGTTCCCGAAATGCGAGGTGAGTGACATTTCCACTTTATTACGGTGCATGTTCATTTTACATATAACTATAAATTTTTTGTAATGAGTTTAAACTAAAAAAGTTGATGGAATATTAAAAACGTAAATTATAATTCAATCGAACGTATACATTTGAAGAAAAGTCAATTCCTTTCGAACTGCAGGACATACATTCAGTGTCGTGTCCGACAACTCAAATATTTTAAATATTTTTCTAAATTTTTATAAAATACAATTCCAAATTCTATAGTCTCACACGCTAACCACTCGGCTATTGCCGTAAATATAAACCGCCCCAACATAGGAGAGGAGAGGAAAGAAAATCTTAATGATGAAACCCCTGAAGACCAGGTTGGGCCTCAGAAGGTTGGTTTTGTGTCCAATAAAAAAATTTAAATAAAACAAAACCCTCTCGAATTAGACAACAAAAATTAACACCTTTATTAAAAAAACAATCAAACAAAATTATCATATAATTTTTAACAGCTAATTATATTTAATGAAAGTAAAGATTGACAAAAAAAAACCTTAGCTATAAATATGCATTATACTAAAAAACAACTTGTTTTTAATTGACCAAATAAATTTTGAAAAAAATGTAGGCAACTTTGAATCCTCACATTGAATAAATGAATAATTTTAAACAATGCAAAAATACGGATATATTTTAGTTTGATGATGAAATGGAAAGTACCGAATATTTTTAAAAAGACAAAATGTGTATCAAAATTGAAACCTCAGGAGTAGTACTGGAATTAGATTTTAAAAAAATCGGAAAACCAACTATTAGTTCAAAAAACAAAAGCTACCTCCTTAAGCTTATTTATCAGGGCTGTAACGTTTTTCATAATAACATAAATAAAAATATCAGCTTTTTGTACTAAAATTTAATAAAAAATATATGAACCATTTTGTTTATTTAATATTATTTTATTTAGTAGTAAGAAAGTAATCCAAATTATTAAGATTTTTTCATAGCCCGGGATTGCAATTGCAAATTTGAAGGCGAATATATTCAGGATGTCATTTTTAGATGGCTGGGCTGAATTTATANTATATATATATATATGGTCACAAGGTCACAAACATAGAAATCATAGAAGTCTGGTCACATTTACGCCCCCAGAGTATGCTATATTCCTCGGGGTGGGGTTGAACCCTCACCGTTCTCGCTAATGACTTCCTTTTACTCTCCATGCGCCACACTTACCCCAGATTACTCCATATTCCTAGGAGTGAGGTTAAACAACCATTTCCTTTCACACTAATAAATTACATTCATTTCAATAAATAAACATCAAAACACCACAGACACAACACAAACACACATAAACACTATACATATTTAAAAATCTCTTTCGCCCTGAGGTACCAGAAGAACGGACTCTGCCGTATTGGATTAAAAGATAATGTAAAAAATGGAATATGTTATTTAAAATAGTACATGTTGGAAAAATAAACTGGCGTTTCAATGATTTCGGTCCGTAGTGTCGATTTAATTTTTAAATCTGTAATCAATTGTTTCTAAAGGAAAAGGTGGATGAGAGGGTTCACTCGAGGTCACAAGGGAGCTAACTTGTGGGATCATAAGTTATTGGGGAGTCCCACCCGCACTCCTAAAGATTAACGGTATTTGGTCTAGCTAACACCTTCACCCCTGAAAGCCTTCACTTTCCGCCCCCGCCTCAAAATGATAGATTTTACCGGCGAAAAACTTCCACCGACGAGAATAATGACTGTTTGAAACTGATAGGCTTTTGTTGTGGACAACATTACGAGAATCGGGGTCGCGGGGCTGAGAACAAATTTTTCTCCGAAATCTCTCCTTTTCACTACTTTGAATGTATTTGTCATTTAAACTATACGCACAAAATTAGCTTACTATTATCAAGCTGAGGTAATGTATTGGTTGCCAGTTTATATTACGAAAACACGTTTATATAGCACAGTTTATGTCTTATGTGCAATATTTATAAACGTACTAAATTATTAATTATTCAGAAATCGTGAGATGCGGTCTGGTATGATGTAGGTTTCAGAAAAACATTTTCTTTATCGTACCAACGTTTCGATATTTTATTGAGATCTTCATCAGGGCTCAAAGTGTTTGTCTTCTGTGTAATTGAGCCATTCTTGCGTGTCGACACGACACGACTCTCAACGCGACACGCAAGAATGGCACAATTACACAGAAGACAAACACTTTGAGCCCTGAAGATGATCTCAATAAAGATCGAAACGTTGGCACGATAAAGAAAATGTTTTTCTGAAACCTACATCACACCAGACCGCATCTCACGATTTCTGAATAATTATCGATTAACGGTCACCACACAGTGCTAAATAATTTTCTTTCTTATGAAATGTTTTTTGAGCTTGAACTTGAAATATGAAAGTGAATTAATAATTCATTAGAGTTCGTGGTCCGATTGACCGAATAACCTTTTTCAATTAATTAATCTTCATGTAAGGTATTGGTTGAGATAGAGTCAGTGTCACGAGCGGGATTCGAACCCACGAGCCTTGGCTAAATACGCCGATACTCTACCACTTGAGCAATCATGACTTTGATCCTCTCGGACACTAACTTCCCATCTTTCGAATTTTCCTCCTTTTTGCCATTTTTCAAATGTCGTGTAATATATTCGATTCTCGGCGAAAAATGAAATAGCCACGGAGAGCTTTCAATTTCACTTATTAAATTCATTAGAGTTCGTGGTCCGATTGACCTAATAACTTTTTTCAATTAATTAATCTTTATGTAAGGATTTGGTTGAGATAAAAAAATTGAAAAATGGCAAAAAGAAGAGAAAATTTGAAAGGTGTGGTTGAGTTGGGAAGTTAGTGTCCGAGTAGATCGAAGTCACGATAGCTCAAGTGGTAGAGCACCGGCGTATTCAGCCGAGCGTCGTAGGTTCGAATCTCGCTCGTAGCACTAGCTTTTTTATTTCAACCAATACCTTACATAAAGATAAATTAATTATTAATATTCTCGTAAAAATTAAGTACTATTGTTGATAGCAGATACAGCAGACTACATAATAATTAAAGATTTAAGATTTTTATCTAAAAAAAATATCACATTAAATTCAAATTACGTAAAAAAGTTAAGGTTTTAACGCTCGCCAATGGGCTGTGAAGGAGATGTGCACAAGGGTATAAGTGTCACAACGGAGAAGACTGCCAAAGTATTTTTTCCATAATGTTTTTAATATTATTTATTATTATACTGTTATTTTCCCTCCATGTCTTCTCAACGGTCTTTTCGAGCATAGGAGAAAGTATAGCAACTTTTCGGCCGGCCTTATGGCACTCAATTTTCTGGTCTTGCGGAGAAAAAAAACAACAACTTGTTTTTCATGGAACGGAACGTTCGAAATTGGCAAGGAAATGAATAATAAATGGAACTTACAAGTAGTTGCTCGAGACGTTTCCTCAGCCTTTCAACATGTTTTTCGACCGTCCCATGCCAGAATGTTCTGTTCTATCTAAGTTAATTCGCCCAGATAAAAAGAAAATAAATTAAACCAAACTAATTCAATAAAAACTTCGACAACAGAGGAAAACATTTTTAATATTGTAAAAATGGTACATTGATTGAAGATTGTATCTCTGAATATCATTATTTCTAAATAACAGTACTTCTTGAAAAGTTAACTTTTATTTGTGTATTCAATTGGAAAAATGACTACTATACTCATACAAAAGATTTGTGCTATCATATAACAAACAATGTCAAAATAATGTGTTATAAAAGCAAACCTACTAATTTTTTCACTCACAAAACCATTAATACGTCTTTATAATGTTTATTCAACTTCAGAAGTAGAATCCATTATATCAATAGTTTAGTTTAATTCCCAAATTCTATTACATGGTCTGAAACTATTGACATCAATCGATAGTAAACAATGTAATATGTTGTGTTGTCCACAATGAGTTTGCCTTTGGTTCAGATAACGTTTATGCTATCATTCATCCATATCGGTTTGATATATTGATCATTTGTATACAAGTTTTAAGGGTTTTTTTTAACAATGGTTTGACCAAAAGTATGAACAAAATTATAAATAATAAGAAATACAATGTTTTCTTCTAAAAAAAATAAAGTAGATCCACTTCTTATCCTAATAAAGTATGCATCGTTATCCTTCAATATTGGAAAGTAGGGCCAGATTTTTGAGATTTATGTACTGACTGGCAACCCTGTGCGGAGGGGTCGGCTCTTATCTCACGCTCGGGGATACTGCAATAAATAATCAGCCATTTCCTATTAACCATTCCAAATTACTAGGAGGTTATTCTGGATGTCGAATGGCCTATTTTTTAATTAATATACAGGGTGGTTTTTTATGAGATAAAGGAAGAATTGGGTATTAGTAGATTGTAAATGGAATAGAATACCGATGTTTTTATTTCAATCTCAACAGTTTACTTCTGATTTTTCCTTCTCGAAGGTGGGATAATAGGTCGTTTCAAAAAAACAACGATCAGCATTTATTCAATCCACAACGTTTCAGATTTATTTTCATCCTTCCTGTGTCTAGTCAGGATCAAAATACAAAAAGTTTTCGGAGTTTAAAGGACTTAAAAAGTGTATCACACTGGCTTCTCTAAAATAGATTATTAGAAAATATTAATGACTGACGACCACTGTTTTAACCACTGCGCTAATTCACCTGATGAAGGATTAAAACAAATCCGAAACGTTGTGGATTGAAAAAGAGCTGGTTGTTGTTTTTTGAGGTGACCTATTATCCCACCTTCGAGAAGCAAAAATCAGAATAGAATACAAAAAATAAGTTTTCTAACTAGTCGAGCAGATACGATTTTAATATTTTTTAACAAACTTATCAAACGAAAATGATGTCCGCTCTTACCTATGCATTTTATTCAAAATTGAGGCCAATTTTAAATATTTCGTTAAATTGTCTAAAGAATAAGTCATATACATATTCCTTTCATACCAAACGAAAGATGGTCGCCAAACGTATGAAA